AGGTCGAGAAATCATCGTCTGAATCTTCACTCTCCTATGGGCTTGACAGCAGTTGAATTCTGCCTCTTATCTAAAATAAGGTAGAATCAGAATCTGGTGTTCCTCTGGATTTGTGTCTGTAACTGGACCAGCCAGCAGTGAGACGGTGTCCCCTCTCTCCTTCTGTCCCGGGAGAGGCAGTGTTGGGCTCTGCTTTGGAGGAGGAGGAGGCAAGGTCTTCCTCTCGTGGCAGGATCATGAGTTTGAGAGGAGAGCGGAGAAAGCGGAGGACGATTTTGCAGAGCAGCAGCCATAGAGCTGACTAGGGAAGCCTGCTCAGGCTGCCCGTCAGAGTTTCCACTGGAAGTGCTGACTTCACAGTGGCTCCCGTGGGCTCGGAGCCGGGGCCTGGTTGTCAGCACAGTGGGGATGAGCCTGAGGCAGAGGGCGGCGGGGGCTGGGTGGGCTTGCTGTGGGGCACCAGGTGGGGCAGGGAAGTTGGGAATGTTGGCAAGATCGAGTTGGCAAGTTCATGCTGGAACGCAGACTCTAAGCAGCACGAGGAGAGAAGAAAGACAGACAGAGGACAGAGAAAGGGGGACACATGTATGTGCGGGCAGTCAAGGACCTGAAGTTCCCTAGAATAAGTGTAAGGGGAGCAGTGAGAGGTCTGGAAGGATGAGAACTTGTGGCTGGGGAGCAGGATGTTTAAATCTATGACCTCAGAGGTGGAGAAGTTCTAAGTAACGAGCAAGTTCAGGATGTGGCCTTGGGAGGCCTGCACTGACCCTCGTCATCGCCGAGACCCTCTCTCTGATCCAACATGCACACCGCTTTCCTCTGTCCTTTCAGCCTCTGACGCACCTCCCGTCTCAGCTAACCTTTTCCCACTTTCTGGTCCAGCAAGAGGAACTCACAGCCTCTTTTCTTGCTTCCGGAGGAATTTATTCCACATGTGTCTGATTCATTTGCGTTTACAGAAACTCAAAATCTCCTGTGTCCAAGAACCCTTTCAACTATTATTTTCTTCCCTTTCTTAGAAACAGGAAGTTGTGTTTGGCTGAGGACAAGCTCTTCCAGTGCCCCTGGGACTTACAAGATGTTTGGAATGAGGAACGGTGAGGACTGGGGAAGACTCTGCCGCGCCCTCCTTTCCTGGGGCTGTTGTGTATCTGCCAGGGGTAGGCTGGGCAGCTCGTGGGGATGGACAACTAGCCAGAACCTTCCTGTCTCTCGTTGCTGAGCCCAAGGCCCGAGGGAAAGTATGTCCTAAGAGACAGGTGGGTTTGGAGGCTCCTGTGTTCCTCCAGCACTGGCGTCACAGCTCAGGATCTGCTGGTGCACGGGGTTTCATCTTTTTCTTCCCAACACTTGAGCGGAGTCTAGTTTTGGGGGTGTGGACTGGCTGATACTCAGTTTTACGCAGAGAAGTCCCGCTCCCTCCCCAGCGGAATATGAGAGAAGGTTCCCTCTCTGAAGAGGCGCGAACCCGGCTGGAATGGGGCACACCTGTTTGGCTAAGTCTGGCCGCGCTGTTGGGAAGTGTTAACCTAGAAAGCAGACAGGTGCCTGGAGGGACCGACGTGGGGCCCATGAGGCAGGGCAGCAGCAGGGTCACACCCAACCGCCCTGCTCGCTCAGGGCTCCAACCTCTAGGGCCCCTCGCGTGTTATTTTGTTCTGTTCAGTTTTTTCATATGTAAGGTCGATCTGACCACACTGCGTCTCCAGTGCTTTCCTGGATTGAACCAGCAAGAATGTTAGCTTAGGTTGGTGCCCTCTTTCTCTGACATGTCCTGGGGGCAGCTTTCTTGAAGGACCACGGGGAAATGTGCTGTGCTAGGAGAGACCTCTCTCAGAAGGACACATTGTCCTGCAGCCGAGGGCCACCACGGGCCAGTGAACCCCTGGTTACCTTCCTCCAGGGCAGGGGTGCTGTGGCATCTCCCCCTCCCCTGCTGTCACACTAGGACCCAGGGGCAATGCCTGCTCAGGGCCGTGGGGTGGCAACGGTCTGAAGGACGGTGGAATCAGGGGTGGGGGATGCTGCGGGGGTAGACGTCTCTCCGCTCGGCACAGCGCAGAGCCGGGGTGAAGAAGGACAGGCGTCAGGACGGTGGTTCAGCCTTGCCTCAGTGCTGCCTGCGCAGCCTTCCCCGCGCTCACCCTGTCCTGTGTTTGACTGTGGCCGTGTATTCAGTAATTAAGTTCCACTCACCCTAGAGGCAAAAGGAATTGATGAGGCTGTGGCCGCAGAAATCTGGAAATCCAACGATAGCACTACGTCTGATCCGCTCTGGTAAATTCCGCATTTCTGTCCACCCTGAGAGACAGACCACTCCCAATTCCCCAGCAGCCACAGGGAGACCCCCGCTTCCCCCCGGGGGAGGGGCGCTTGGAGGCCCGAGAGGCACAGCTGGTGGGGCAGAGGTCGCTGTGTGCTCTGCAGCCTCTTTCCCAGCGACCAGGGGGACTTGGGCACTGAAGGTCTTGGGCCATGTGTGAAGGCCTGGCACCCGGCACCGCCTTGCGGCTCCCAGACCCGCGAAGGCAGTCGCGACAAGGCCGTTCTCTCCGTTTGCCTGGACCACGTGTTGCATATATCAAGACAAAGCAAAGCCAACATACTATTAGGACCCTTCCTATTGTACCTGTCTTTTTTTTTTTTTTATCCCTTGGTGGTGGTGGGAGGGTGGGGGAAGGTTTGGAGAAAATGAAGAGGGATCCACCAGAGGAAAGCAAGAAGAACTGCGTGTTTGGACGCGGGTGAGGAGGACGGTCCGGAGGAAGAGGCCCGCTTGGTTGCAACGCCCAAGCACCGAGAGCCTAAAGCCTAGTGGGCGTCATCAGCGAGCAAGGGGCGGGGCTGGTGGGAGGACCGCCCCCCCCAGGGAAAAACGTCCCCAGGAGAGAGGGGTGGTGGGCTAAGGTGGCTCAGGGAACAGTAACGTGGCGTACTTTAGTAAGTTAACAAGTCCTCCAGTCAGCTACAGGGAGATAAAGGGCAGAGAATAAACCCCAGACAGGGACTCACTTGTCTTAAGGATGGAAGGCTGGAAATGAACTTTGATGCTAATGTACCACCTTTGAAATATTTCTGGCTGGAGCTCGGAGGACGCAGATAAATTACCAAGTTACCTGCCGAGCCAGGGCCCTGGGGACCTCCACGAGGAGGCACCAGTGCTATTTCTGTTGGGAACCCGAGCTCGAAGATGCGGACAGCCAGCAGAGGAACTGCAGCCTTCCCTTCTCTGGGCTGGAGGGGTGGTCGTGCTTGGCCAGGGGAAATGACAGCATGATCTCTCTCTACGGATCTGTTTTCTGCGTCCCCGAGCTGCAGCTGTTGGATTTCCAGACACAAACAAGCATGTATTCTGTGAGCCTCGCCGGGCCCACACAGCAAGGAAGAGCCAAGCCGGATTCCTTTCTGCTTTGCACATCAGCAGCTCTGCTGCCAGCTGAACTCCAGGGCAGACTGTGTGCCTGGTGAAGATGCGGGCAGTGGGGGTGGCACAGCTGGACTGGTGTGAGCAACTGCTGGGGGCACACTTGGCCTTGATCATTTGGGGGAGAATAAGAAAAGGAAGGAGACGAAGAGTTGCAGAAACACACACCGATCAGTCTCGACAAAACTGGTGCACAGCAGGGAAGAGTCTGGTGTAGGACATGCCTGTGTGCGTGCTTGTTTAGGCTTCGGTAAGCCTGGCCTCCCGGTTGCTGACGAACCGGCTGGGAAAAGCAGGCCACTGTGCAGACTGCACGCCAGCCGAGGGAACGGGAGGGGCTGGAAGCCCGTTTGCCCTACTCGTGCCCCAGCGGCCCAAGTCCTCCCAGCGGGCACCTCTCTGTATCACACAAGGGCTCCATGTAGCATCCTGTCTGTCCAGGCCACTTTCTGCTTGAAGGGATCTTGAGAGAAAGCTAAGTGGAGGGAGGGGGTGGGGCGGTCAAAGTTGATGGGAAAAGCGAAGATGCAAATTTAGATACTTCCCTCTTATCACTAGAATGTCATTTCCTGATGTTATCTGTTCCTTCTAACCCACCAGGACCAAGGACTAAGCTCCCTCTACACCAGACCATATGGAGGACGGGCCAGGGGCTTCCTCTGAGCTTGGAAGAGCTGAGGTGATACGGAGGGAAGACAGGGTTTTGGTGGCTCGGGGAGGTTTCAGGTGGCTGCTGGGGAAGGCCATTCTGTGTCAAAGGGCTGACTGGGACAGTTGCAGTTTGCTTGGGTCCAAGGAGCTGTGAGATGGGGGTGAAGTCTGGCGCGGAGACAAGGGGCTGAGGTCACTGGGATGATGTTACGTAGAAACAGGTGCAGCATTCCTCAGATGCTAAGAGAATCCTGTATCTCCGGCTGGTCGGTATGTAAAGTGAGGATGGGGACACATGCAGAGTGGAAGGAAAAAGGAGCTCGGAGGCATCGCAGGACCACTGTTACCCTCACGCTGGAAGTTTCCACCAGAGCAGAGGTTCTCAAAGTGTGGTCCGCAAACCAGCAGCTTCCGTGTCACCTAGGAACTTGTTAGAAATACGGGTTCTCGGGCCCCGGATCCACTGAATCCGAAACTCTTGGGGTGGGGCCCAGCCATCTGTGTTTCAAGCAGCCCTCTGGATGACCCTACTGCCCACTAAAGTTTGAGAACTGCTGGTTTAGATTTTGCAGAGGAGAATTGCCTGACTGAGCTAGATTCAGCAGAACCGGGGGGAAGGCCTCCGAGGCGCAGGCAAGGTGCCAGCTTCCCTGCGTATGCTCAGGGTGGGCTGACCTGTTTGTAGCCTCTGTCCTTGGCCCTGGGTCCCCTGCCCTTTCCAAAGAAATACTGAGCCAGATCAGATGACTACATTGGCACAAGATCACACTTTAGTTTAGAGACACATTTGCATAAATACTTGAAATGGGTCCACCCTGCAGGTGGGAGCCCGAGAACACGGCTCTCCACAGCCCTGCAGTTCGCGGCCCCCCAGGCGATGGATTTAATAATGAAGAGGGTCCCGGTCATTTCTGAGGACACTCACGGTCCACCCCCACCCCACGACTCTCCTTTACGTAATTTTTTCCCCTCTGAGGTAGCTTATTTATTGGGGGAACCAAGTAGAAAAAAGTGTTTTCATTTAACTTCGCTAGTCCTTTGCAGACAGGCTGACCACGCCTCTGGTTTGGGTCGTAAGTGTGCTCTTCACCTTTTTACCTCTGCCCTCTACTTGAACCCAAGCAAGGTCCAATCCACGAGATAGTAGACTGAGCGTCTGTTGTCTGTCTCCTCTCCCCTCCAGCCCAACCAGAGGGGCTGTGGCAGTGAGGGGCCTGGGGAGGCCATGCCACCTCCAGAGGTGGGGTCACTGTAGCACGGCCCTGGTCTGCACCCCACACCCTGAGTGCATGAGCACAAGCCTGGCCCACCCGCTGGGTCACGGGGAGCACGGCTGGCTCCCGCAGGGCTTGGCATCCTCAGGCTTCAGAGCCTCGTCGCAGGTGGCGGAGGCCTGGCCGCTGGGGTCCAGGCACTCCACGGTCCGCCGCTGCCAGCCAGCTCCGCAGCTGCTGGAGCACTCAGACCAGTCTCCCAGCACCCACTGCACGTTGAGCAGGGGCTGGATGACGTTGGTGGTTGTCCTCTCCTTGCCGCCCTGGATGCTGAAGTTCACGTCGTTTGGGACGTAGAAGGTGTATTTGACTCTGGGGGGAAAGACCTCCCCGGGGACTGTCAGGAGCTGCACGGTCAGAGGCTCGGGCAGGGGCTGGAAGCTCTGCAGCCGCTCCAGGGTGGCAAGGGAACCGCTGTACTTGAGGATGGTCCCCTTCGCCAAGATGTCCTGTTCGATGGCGGAGATGGCCAGGTTCCCATTGAGCAGGTACTGCCCGTCGGCAGTCTTCAAGGCCAGGTAGTTGCCGTCGTTCTGGACCCCTGGGCGGCTCCACTGTTTCACGTCAATGTTTGTGGCACCAGCGGGGATGGTGACGATGTCATTGTAGCCATATCTGTGAGAGGACCAGAAAGACATCCTTAGGACCGGCCGCTCCCCAGCCCCGTGCTCAGGAAGTTGGCCCGCAGTGACTGGGGTGGGCGGACCAGAACCACGAGCAAACAAGGAAGCAGCCGCCCCAGAGTTCCAAATAAATTAGCGGCTGAGGCCAACAGGAATGCTTTATATGCTGGGATTTTCAAGGGTTTTTGTTTTGCCTGGCAGCTCTCTTTCAAATGTTTGGCGTCTGGATCTTGACAATAGCTCAGAGGAGAAGGCAGCCTGGAGGGGTGTGAAGGCTGCATCCTTGCTGCCAAACCTGGGCTCTTGGCTCAAACAAGACTGCGGACACATGTAGCACCTGGTACTGATATAAACTTCACTTGGCCACGTTCATCCCAGAGCTGAAATCCATGTGGAAAAATCTGCCCCACCCGCCCTTTCCAGAATCTGACCAGATGGGCGCCTCGCTCCAGCTCTTACAGTTGATCAGCCCCTGGTGTTTGGCTAACGTGGCTCTCAGCAGGGATCTGGGCGACACGGCTGCCTTGGGTGTGCCTAGCCCCGTGAGCTGGGGTGCTGGTGGGGACAGTGTTTCAGCTTTGCTGTAGGCCCAGGGCTTTATGTTGGATGGAGAAACCTTAGTTCTTCTTTTCTCCTGGGGTAAAAGCATTTGGGTTTCACAGGCTGGGAAGAAAGCGAAGAGGACTGAGGAAGCCCGTAACTGGCTGTCTGCTGTTCCCGCCTCACGCCCAGCTGGGGCCAGCCGCTTGGTCTGGGGCAGCTGTGAAAGCACCCGGGGCCCATGTGTCTCATGCCTAAGAGCCCCAGTGTCTGACTCTCCCACACCCCATGCTGCTTTCTTCTGTGTCTGTTGAGTTTAAATTTGAAAAGACTCCCGAGTTGCCTCCTGTGGACTGATGCTGTTCTCTGAGCCGGACGCGAGCGAGAGAGACAGCAAGGAGCGCAGTGCGGCTGCCTGACCTGACGCAGCCCTGCCCTCCCTCTCTGGGGGGGGTCTCCCTCTCCAGTGGAGTCGCTCTCTCCGGGGGAGTGGTGTGCAGGGGCGGGGAAAGTAGCCCAGGAGTGGAGAAACCTAGGTTCTCTTCTGGCTGACATCACCTATCGCTGTGACCTGAGAGGAGTGACATGATGTCTTTATGCCTTAGTTTCTTCATCTGTAAATGGGGGATAAGGGTCTTGGCCTTGATAGACTGTTTTTAGGAATCAACCAAGGCCACAGAAGTGAAAACCTGTAAATAAATACCAGGGGCTTTATGAACGTGTGGCTTTAAGGTGTGGAAAGGCATCTGGAGTGCTCAGATTCATGAAGCCCTGAGGCTGCCAGGGTCCTCCTCCCTCCCCCTCTTCCCTGAGTCACCTGCAGGAAGGACAGGACTCCCCTGGTGTGGGGTGAAAGGTCCTTCCCAAAACAAGCCTGGAGTTGCTGCTTTCTGGCAAAGATCTTGGAGACTCAGTGCAGCCCCATTGCTGATTGACTCAGAGATGATACATCCCTGCCCATGTGGCCTCCGGCCGCCCTGTGAGCCACCCTCTCTGTGGGCCAGACCCTGAGCCAAGTGTTCTGCCCATCTCGTGACTCCTTACAATGACTCTGAGATGGAGAGGATGCTGGTGTTTTATAAAGAAACTGAAGCTCAGTACTCCACAGGTCTGGAGTAGCAACTACAATTCAACTTAGGCCCCCATGACTCCAGAGCCCAGTCTGCTGTTGCAGCTGGGGACAGATCTCCTGGGGAGACCCACCTGGAGGGGTTGAAGAAACCGGAGACCTTCCTGCACGAGTTTCCTTCGCCCCCGCACACCCCACATCTGTCCAGCTTCCTAGGCGAGCCCAGCACGTGGTCACAGCCAGCCTTGACACACTGGCCACGGACACAGATGGCCAGGGTCTCTGGCCCACACAGGGTGCCATCGATCACCTGCATCAAGGGAAGGGGAGAGGGAGGTCAGGGAGGGTGTGGTGATACCAACGCAGCCCTCCTGTCGGCTCCTGCCAGGTGGCCTTCCTCCCCACCTGTGGACCTGGGTTCCAGTGGGAACCTCACCTTGGCCTCGAACACTTTGAACTCACTCCGACCCCGGGCCCGGCAGAACAGCTTGCAGCGGTCTTGGGGGGACACCCCCGCGTACTTGGGGACCCACTGCAGGAGGTTCCCGTCCATGTCCGTGTAATTGTAGGCATTGTACTTCTCACACTGCTGTTCCCTGAAGCTCTTCCCTAACAAAGAGCATGAGAAGGCATGGAGTTAACACGCTGAGCTGCAGCTGGGAGGACCCCCTGGAGAAGGGCCGGGGTCCTGGGCACTTTTCTTCCTCCTGGACTTGACCCAGCCCCAGGACACAGGACCAGTGTCACCTGGCCCAACTTCCCTAAACACCGACCTCGCCCCACCTAGCGTGGCCCTTACTCATGGGGCAAAGAGAGGAGCAGCCAGCCTCAGCTGGGCTTCTGGGGAAAAGAGCCTTCCTGTATGGGAGGAGCTTCATTCTGCTTCACAGACGAATGAACTCAGGCAGGGACAGGGGACAACTCAGTAGGCTTTGAAGGCACATGTTTTGGAGCCTCTGGTAATTGTGCTCTGTTGTGACATCCTTGGTGACATGGATGTGTGTCCAAAAGCTCCTGGGTCTACACGTCCGGTTCCGGTCCACTTGCTGTAATTCTGGGTGTCTGCGGGGACTCCACTTGTAGTACTGTAGTTGCCTCCAGCCCAGCCAGGCCCAGCTCCACATGGGTCCTCCATGGGCTGGTTTGATCTTCATTTGGTGACACTACCGCATTCCAGTCTGGGACCGACACCCCAGTATCATGGAACATTGGAGCATCTGCATCACTCTTTCTAACCCGGGGCTAAGCCTTACCCTCCATCAGGACAACCTATGATCTTAAATGTCTCCATCCCACTCTCACCACCCCAGTCCCCCTCTCACAGGCCCAGGCCTTGTGGTTTCCTGTAAGACTTAGTGCCCAGCCTCCAGAACAATCCGTCTGAAGTAAGACCTGGGTTTTTCTTTTTCACAGTCCTGAAGTTCAACCTGCACTTACTACTGAGTTTCTCCACCCCAGCTGTACATCTGCCTGACCTGTGCAGACTTCAGATCACAGACGGCCACGGCCTCCCCCTGAGATTCTGAGGTAGGACATCTGAGGGGCCTGGGCCTGCGTGGAAGCTTCCAGGGGACCTGAGGGGACAGCGGGCGTAGAGAGCCTCCAGATGCTATTTTAGCCTTCATGCACCTTTGACTGGCCTGGAAATGCTGCTACACTCAGCCTGACTCTGTCTGGGAGAATCAGTGCCCCTCAAACCTCCCCTCAAATCGGCACCATCTCAGTCCTCCAGCCCCTGCTCAGCCCTGACTCCCTGAGAAGCTTCTGACAAGTCCAGGCTTCTCCTGGCTCCGGATGCCCTGTAAGTCTGGGGTCTGTGCCTCACAGGTTGAGCTTTAATGGCTTTGTGAAAGGGGTCCACGTGTTCCTGAGAACAAAGAACACGCTATTTATGTCATTATAATACCCATTACAGTTCTAGCCACACAATAGGCACTAAAAACACACTTATTGATCGAGATGGCTGACTCTGTCCATGTCTGCCTCGTACTTTATATTCATCCCATCCCCTTTCTCTCTCTCTCTCTCATTCTCTTGCTCCCCACCCCCCTGTGAATACTTCTCTCGTATGCCAGGCAGACTCTCCCAATTTCAGCGCGAAGTTTCTAGAGCCTCGTGCCATTACTGATTCTCCTTGTCTTGCAAAACTGCAGAGCCTCCAGATTCCCTCATTAGCACCATCCCAGCGCCAGCGCCTCTGCGCTTGGGTGAGTCTCTGAAAGCGCTGCTTGTCAGTTGCTGCCTGCCAACACTTCCTGGAGATGGAAGGGATGGTGGGGAGAAGACTGACACTGATCCCCTCCCTTCGGGTCTCTGCCTCTGAGTTAACGCCTGTGCTTTCCAGCAGGCACTGGGGTGGAATGTGCCGGGGTGGGGGGCGGGGGCTGCTTCCCAGGAAGGTCTGTCAGGCAGCTGCCACAGCTCCAGGGGAAGGTGGGCAACTCTTCTCAGAAAGAATGCACACTAGAATCAGATTCAGAAATCTTACCTCTGCCGTGGGCTGAACGTTGGCTGGAAAGACATTGGAGGTTTGGCTCTGACACTTGCTTTGGAAAACGCTTCCATTCTCCATACAGACAGGGCTCAGACGCCTCCAGGAGGAGTTTTATCCTAGGCCAGCCCCTCTGCAAAGCCCTCCCCCACCCCAACCGAACAAGTCTGGTTGGGATAGACATCCCCATCTCTTCATCTGGGAAGACAGGGTGGTTTCTCTCCTTGACTTTGCCAGGCTCTCCCAGCACAGGGTGAGCTGTCCTGGGTCGCTACGGGCTGCCCTGAAGCTCGGTGCCTCGCAGAGCCGGTTTATGCCTGTATCCCGGGAAAGCCGGCCCCAGGAGACCGCCCACCCCTCTGGGGCTGTGCTGCGGGGCCACAGCCGCTGCTCCGGCACTTACCGTCGGGGGGGCACTCCTCCGTGCGGCATGACTGGTACTTGGTTCTCCGACCCAGGCAGTATCTCCCTCCATTCTGAGGCTCCGGGTTCTTGCACTCACGGTGTGAAAACTGCACCCCTCCTCCGCAGGTCCTTGAACATTCTCCCCAGGGTCCCCATGGGGCCCAGCCTCCGTCCACCACGATCTGCAACACACAAGGCCACACTGGGTCTGGAGCAGAGGGGAGGAGGCCTCAGCCTTGGTGTGACCTCACCTAGTTAACGCTCGTCCTGGTGCACAGAGTTCGGTAAACTGCCCAAATCATTTGCACAATGACCACGTGGCCTGCGTGGTTGCAGCTTCGTGAACACAGAGGCTGCCCTGGCCTTGCCCGCTGCCGACCCCCTGCCCTCCCTCGCTGCTGACCCCCTGCCCTCCCTGTGCCTTGCCCTTTGCAAGGTGCTCAATAGTAGTTGTTGAATGAACACTTCGATGGGAATAAGGCTGGCTCCAATGCAGTGGTTCTCCATCAGGGCCACTTTTGTCCTCCGGGGACACTTGGCAATGTCTAGAGGCACTGTGGTTGTCACAACTAGGGAGGGTGTGTGCTGCTGGCCTCGCATGGGTAGAGGAGAGGGTGCTGCTAAACATCCAGCACAAACCAGACAGCCCCCGTACCCAGGACGTATGCAGCCTAAATGTCGCCAGTGCTGAGGCTGAGAAGTTCTGATCTAAAGGAATAATCGCTGGGAGGTGTTGCTATGTCTACCAGCTACCAGTTCCAGTGGGAGGATGGTGCCCTGGAAACTGAGAGATGCTTCCAGTTTTACCACTGACCCTGAGAACAAGGCGTTGCCCTTGGTGGGTTCATGGAATTTTCAACATGAAAATAATTTTTAAAAAGTTACAGAAGTCATATGTGCTCATATGAAAAATGAAAAATACAGAGAAGCTTAAAAAATACCACTACCCCAAAATTTTTTTAAAAAGTGGGGTGGGTATAGCTCAGTAGTAGAGTGCATGCTTAGCATGCATGAGGTCCTACGTTCAATCCCCAGTACCTCTGTTAAAAAAAATTTTTTTTTAAAGTACCGCTACCCAGATGAACCCACTGACATGATTTTTATCAACATCCTTTTGTACCTTTGTGCTCTCTAATCATAAAGATGCCATGGTTTTATTTTACACAGATATGATTCTGTCACATATATATATATATATAGTATTTTATGATCTATCTTTTCCCCTTAAAAGTAGGTGATAAACATCATCCTGTGATCATTTTATGTCCACCTTTCCCTGTGTTGAGCTTGGCTCTGGTGCTGGGGAGCATTAGCGGGGCCCCCTCTCAGCCTCCCCTCTCAGCAGAGTGTGAAGCACCTGCTGCAGGACAGGGCTGGCACCTGGAAGAGCAGCTGAGTGTCGGGATGGAGGGCTGGGAGTCACGTCCTGGCTTAGGCTCGGAAGGGGCTTATGCTTTACCTGGCCGCGTGGGCTCCTGGGCCTCAGTGCAAAGGATGTGCCACTAGGGACGGCCCTCCGGAGGGTGAGCGCTCAGGCCACCCTGGTGATTCACAGCTGGGCCAGGACCAGTGGGTGCTGTTTCAGAGATGGCTCAGTGACTCACAGCAAGAGAAATGTGATCAGCCTCACAGTTTGGAAGTATTAAGAGCAGGGCAAAGACGCAAATCATTTACAAACTCTCACTGGCGTTGCTTTTGCTTCTCCTTGCAAGTTTACTCTGTCCTGGGCCAAGTGTTCTCTGCCTGGTCAGAGGTGATTCTGATTCCTCCTTCCCTCCTCCGTGAGTGAGGAGTCTCCACAGCTACTCTCATTCTCCTGACCTCTGGTTGTGAATTCAACTCGGGCACGGGCAGGAGAGGGCCACTTTCCCCTCAGTCCTTGACGGACACTCCTCGTCTGCTGTTTATCATAGAATTCATACGGGTCTCCACAACTGGTCTCTTGTTGGGGTGTCTCACCCCATCACCAGCCTCCACAGGCTTCAAGCAACCCCACAGCTGCACCCCAAGTGCCAGGAGCACTTCCGGTGTCATCCGTCCGCTCTGAGTACAGCCTCAAGTAGCTCCTCTCGAGTTTGGATAAATATGCTTTGCTTTGTCAAAAGATGAGCAATTTTACTTAGAAGTCTTAGTTGCACCTGGCCCGGAGTCTCTCAGTCCATGGCTTTCAAGTGTGGTTTCCTCCTTGGAAGCGGCCCTCCCTCCTGCCCTCTCCCCCACCCCCGAGTGGCCGCCCTCACCTTGGGTTTCTCCACTTCCTCGGCGGGCAGGCAGCTGCCATCCCAGCAGAGGCGCCCGGGCCCGCAGGGCGTCCCGTCAGCCCAGGGCAGGCTGCCGTTCTTCGTGTGGCAGAGGAACTCGGTGCCGAACACGTGGCACCAGAGCTGGGCACAGATGTCCTGTGGGGAAGTGTTGGGGCAATGGCGGAAGCCCAGCCCAAAGATCTGCCTGCACTGCTCGTCCAGGCTATAGAGGGCCCTGCGGCCTGGGAGGTCTGTCGGGAGGGTCAGGGCCGAGGTGGGGGCATCCAGAAGACAGTCTCCTGAGGGTTGGAGGAAGCAGAGGAACAAGAGTAAGGGGCGGGTCCCCTCCTCCCACATCCCAGTCAGGGCTTCCTGGACCTTGATCTAAGAACTGTCAGTGCTCAATCATCTGTCTAAAGCTCATCCAGTTTTTGACCATCAGTAGTAGCAAGTTTTGTTTTTAAAGATTGAGTGTCTTTCGTTATCCAGAACATCTTATATGCATTCACTGTTTACCTAGGGAATACCGACTAACTGTAGCACTATTCTACCTCATAGTATAAATGGGGATGTAAACGGGCTCTTAAAAATCATGGCATGAGAATGAAGCCAGAGTTCTAATGTTTGGAGAATCAATTACTTTTGTATCAAGAATCAAGAATCAGTCATGCTTTCACCATTTTGCTCAAGTCAGGTCGTCTTCACCAGGCATCTCTCCCCAGTCCTGGCGCCCACAGGGCCTGTCCCGCCTCCCTGCCATTTCCCTGGCATCCTATGGTCTGTCGCGCTAGTCAGAACGTCCCCTTCTGTCCTCTGCACCACACTCTTCCATTCCTTTGAGCTCTGCTGGAAGCCCCCTCCTCCAGACAGACCTTGTCAGACTACTTCCACCTGCTCTGGGGAATAATCTAAGCTGGCCCAGAACTCAGGCTGCTGGAAGCTGGGCCAAGAAAGCGCATGCCTTGTGGCAGGGATGTGATCCCCGTGGCCGGGGAGGGTGGCTGAAGGACACAGCCCGAGTCTCTCCAGCCCTCAATGTCTGCGATGCTCTGTGAAGGGGTTTGGCCAGTGGCCGTGTTGGGAGGCTGGCCGGGCAGATCTCAGCTGCCAGCCGCTGGCCCGGGAGAGGTGGGGAGAGAGCCTGGGGACCTACCATGCCCACTGTCCAGGAGCTCGGTGAGGTACATGGCGCTGCAGGGGGACCAGGGCAGCGTCTTGTTCAGGTGGACGAAGAGGGGCGTCATCATGTGGTGCTTGCCCAGGGGCCCGAAGAGCCGCACGCAGGGGTTGGAGTCGTCGTGGGGCATGCTGAGCACGTGCCCTGGGAGGACGGAACCTGCGGTCTGGCTGCCGCCGCCGCTCTGCGCCCTCCCGCCCGCTCCTCGTGGGAGCCCCGCCTGAGGGCGCTCAGAGGCTGTTCCAGGCCTTGCTCTGGGCCCTTCCCTCCCAGGGAGCTTTCTCAGGGTACGAGGAACACTGAGATCCCTTCATTTTTTGCCTCAACCTGTCCTGATTCGCATTCGCCTCGATGATTCACTCGCTAACGCGGCACTTACGAATGACCTTCCAGAATCCTCACTGCTTAGCTTGGGCGCAGCCTCTCGGCTCTACCTGAGCACGCGTTCTGTGTTTTGGCATTTCCCCAGTGACCTCTGATGCTGGCCCCGGACACTGTGTTAATATGCTGGCCTTGTGCTCGGGGCAGGGCTAAGGGGAGACAGCACACGGCTGCTCTGCACCCTCGCTCTGTGGAATGAGGAGGGGGCTGGCCAGGTCCCCGGAAGCTGGGCTGGCTGGACTTGGGAGGGCAGGTTCCCCGACCCAGCCCAGCACGTGTGGGCATTGGCGGGTGAATCTTACCGAGCTCGTGGGCCAGAGTGTAGGCTGCCTGCAGTCCCTCATCCTTGATCACAGAGCAGCTCTTGCTGGGGTCACAGATGGTGCCGATGTCTGCCACCCCCAGGGTGTCACACATGCCCCTCATCCCACAGAAGTTCTGCCCGGAGGACAGAGCGAGACGTGAGGACGGACACAGGACAGAAACTCTCCCTACTCCTGCCCACCCCGAGTTGAAGGAAATGTTTTAAGCCAAATCCCTATTTCTTCAGAAAGGCCACTTCTCTTTCTATGTCAGCATGTCCTCCGGCTGCCTGGGGCTCGGAGAGCTTGCCAGGGCAGGCAGGAGAGCTGGTGAGTGGTGAAGGGCGAACCCCACAGCAGGCCAGCTGGGGCTTGACAGCAGGTGCTGCCCCTGGGTGGCTGCTCAGTGCCTTGGTTTCCCAAGCTGAAAAGTGGGGCTAAAACCACAGTACTCGCCTCTGGGTTGAACTACCATTACAAACGGACCCCCCCACCTCCAGTTCCAACTCTCCTCTCACTGTGCAGTTTGAGCCCATTTCCTTGTTATGAGCTCAGCAGACAGCTGGTCACAAAGTTCTGGAAAAGAGCCCTCACGAGATTCCTCTCCTTCCCTTGCAAATACTTCACACTTGTCCTCATGACCTTCTCCTCCTCGTCCACACACCAGGCTCCTGGTGTCCAGCCAGGGCCAGCAGGGAGCCGGTCCCCCCCATCTGGGCAGCCCACAGCCCTCCCTCTGGCCCGCACCTGCCTCCCTCCCTCCTTCCCTCCCTCCCTCCCCGGTTTCCCGAGGCCCGCGGACCAGTCTGGTGAGCAGGATGGCCGTGTCGAAGTGCTCCGGGTGCCGGTCACTGGGCTGGTTGAAATGCTGCTGCCAGCTGCAGAAGTTCCGCAGCGTGAGCCCCCCGTTGTCGGACACCATCGGGCCCCAGTACTCATCTTCCACTATCAGCACTTTCACCACCATCAGGTTGATGGAGTTCCTGATGCTGGGGTGCTTGTAGACGCGGGCTGCCACCGACATCAGTGTCAGGATGTGATTCTGCCGGCAGGGGGAGTGGAGAGTGAAGGGGAGGTCGCTCAGCCATGGCCCGCCCCGCCATCACCCGGAGCAATGCAGCCGCCTGTGGGCTGGGCTGGGCAGAGCATTGGTATAGAGCACCTCGAAGACCCACAAACCCCTGAGGCCCTGGCATCATTGCCCTTCATCGTACATATAGGAAATTCGCGGCCCAGTAGCTGGTCCACAGTTCCAGAGCTAATGAGTGTCCAGCCAGCGTGTGAGCCCAGAATGCCTGGCTCCACACCACAGCTTGTGCGTTTAACATCCTGACCAGCCACATGTGGCCACGGACATCTAAACCCGTTAAAACTCAAGGAAATAAAACCACAGCTCCTCTGCCACACCGGCCACATTTCCAGGGTGTCACAGGCATCTATGGCTCATGGCTACTGTCCCGGGCCAAGCGGACGACATCTTTATTTCCATCATCACACAGAGTTCTACTGGGCTGCACTGGTTATTTAGCCTTAGCGCTCACACCAGCTGTCTTCCTGCCAGTCCCCCGTCCCCACTCCGCTCTCTGCCCAGAAGCAGTTATCTGAGCATTCAAGGTTGGTAGAGTTCTCTCTTAGAATCCAGACGAGCCTTTCCCCAATGCCTGTTGGAGTAACCCCTACCCTTCAGGGTGGGAACCACTTTGCTCTGTCGCTCCTAACCACAGCTCCTCCATCCCAGTCACAGAACGCACCTACGACATCTCATCAATTGCTCACAGTAACTCTGGGAAGCAGGGACTGTGATCCCCATTTCATGAGCGGGGAAGTGGAGGTTCACACACGTTAAATGACTTGTCTAAAGTCGCTCGGCTCTCAAAGCCAGGAGGCCAGCCCAGGCGCGTCTGTCTCCAAGGTCTACACTCTTCTCATGAACTTATGCTTGGCCCGTCGGCTTCTGCCTGGACAGCCCCGAAGGGTCTATTTCCCTCTGCTGGGGACGTGAGAGAATTGGGTGGGCCCAGTGGGACCCAGGCGCTCAGGCTCTCACTGCTTCCAGTCCCACCAAGCCCAGCTGAAGGAGTCCACATCAGTGCTTGGTCTCTGTTCCATCCCTGGGCTGCCAGCTGCTCCAAGGCTTCGGGAGAGGCCAGACTGGGGCTCAGTCTCCTGCCTCGGGGACCTCTAGAAGCGAGTCTTCTTGGACGGTTTTGCAGAGCAGGAGATAAAGGGGGCAGAGGCATGCACGCCTTCCACCAGGATTGTGACCAGCTGAGCTGCCACTCACCGCCCTGCTCCCTGTTCCCTAGGGCACCACCTCCTGCGATGGATGGTGGGAGTGGAAGGAGGGGAAAGGAGGCTGAAAGGCTAGAGAGGGACATTCCATGGGTTGAAGCCATGTGAGGGCATTCCAGATGAATCCCATTATTTGTGAATGGGATCTGTCTGTCCACCTCGCAGGCAACGAGCCAGATATTTTGTAAGCCCTACAAACGGGTTGGCAGGTTACTTAGCACGTCAAGCACTCAGGCTATGTTTAGGCTGATGTAAACATCTTATCAGCAAAGCTGAAACTTGGCACTGGCTCCTGGAGTTGGATTCCTGAGGGAAACAGGCAATCACGTCATTATGCAATGAGAGGTGAGGGCTGAGGAGTGGCAGCCTGCTGGGGCTGCTTCTCCAGGTCTCCACTGCTTCTGGGGTTCAAAGAGTCTCCCGGTCTCCTGCCCCAGGAAGGGCCAGGGCCCAGCCCCTGGAACGTCTAAGACCACCTGCAGCTCTCCTCGCAAGACGCCTTCCCTTTGAGTCCCAACGTCACAATCTCAGAGCAGGGAGATGTCTTACAAAGAAGGTGTGACGACCAGAGACGCCAGCCGCTCAGCAGTGGGCCCTGAAGGCGCGGCCTACGGAAGTGAAGACCTGAGGTTTAAGAAAGGCCCAGTTCCCAAGCCGCCCACTCAGACTGAGCAGAGACCATGCAGTGGGCACGTCCCCAGTGAAAACTGAAGGCACACAGTGCGAACTGTGTCATGAAGGACAGCGTGGGGGTGCTTCCCAGCACGGAGGTTCTCGGAGGCTCCTCCTTTGAGCTCAGGGAGCTCACAGCATCTTCTCCAGACACGGAGTAACTGTCGGGCTGAGCCAGCGTGAGAGCCGTTTCCCTTCAAGGCAGTAAGTGGACAGGAGGACAGTCGGAGGTGGTTCTGGCTACTTTTTCAGGAGATAGTTTCCATTGCAAGAGGGCTTCCAGGACGTGTGGCCCAGTGTTTCTCTGAAAGTCCCCTCCTCTTCTGTCTCACTGAGTTTCTGGGGACTGGAGCCCCACCATCCCCGCAGCAGCTCCTCTGAGGAGCAGTGGCAGGAGTTCCCTGGGGGAAGGACCTGCGCCTGGACAGGAGGGCGGCTGTGAGTCCATGAGCCCCCGCTTCTTGGCCCAGCTCCTGGGCCAGAAGGGCCGGCCTGACTTCCAGTCCCAGAGAGAGCAGGTCCAGAAGCCGGCTGGTCAAGGAGAAGGTCAGCTGGCTTGCTCCACCACCGGTGTCTATGTACAGCTCTGAGCGCCAGCCCAGTGCGGGCTACTGGCTGCCAGGGAGGGGGCCCCTGCACAGCAGAAAACCTCCCATGGCCACGGCGTCGGGAGGATCAGAGCCCATGGCCAGCCTGGTTGGGTCGTCACAACCCTGCTCTCGGATGACCTGAGTTCTTGTGAGGGAAAGTTGGGCACTTTTCAGGGAGCCTCCTTCTCCATTGGTGCCCCCAGGACCTGAAGGAGAGAAAAAATGCCCACCAGCTGGGCCGGGACATAGCGCTCTGATTCTCTGACATGCAAACAAGGCGATTCTTCGCCCGCAGCTCCTGCACAGCCCGGCCAGCCCTGGTAGGAGTCCGAGGGAGGCTGGGCCTGGGCCAGGCGTGCTCCCAGCAGTTCCTGCCCAGAACGTCTTCCCTCACGCTCTGCTCATCTGCTCTTCCCGCTGTGAGCCCAGTGCTTTCCTCGCTTTCCTCGCAGCGTGTCTGGGAGCAGCGGGGAGAGGAGGAGTGGTGACCTGGAAGCCCTGCCACCTCAGCAGCTTCCCCTTCTGGAAGGCTTGGCTCTGTGCTGGGGAGGAGGGGAGGGTGGGGGAGAAGCCAAGGAAGAGGAAAGGAGAGATGGAGAGGAGAGCCGGTCCTGCACGGATGTCCTTCATCCCTCCTCATCCTCCCAGCGGCAGGGCCGCCTCTCCAGAGCACACCCTTGCCAGAAGCACAGGGAGTCCAGCTCACAGTCTGGGCTGAGCGAGCTGAAGGGCAGGCCGTGGCCATTGCTGGCTGGCTGTGATGGCGTGTCACCACCCTGTCCTCCTGCTCTGACAACTGCGTCACCCGAGACAACTCCAGCGTAGCTACGCTTTGTTGAGCATCTACCATGTGCCAGGCCCTGGGTAGGGCACTTTCCATGTTTCTCTGTCTCCTCCAGGCAATGCCAGGGCGTCAGTGTAACTGTTAGGCTGCTGAAGAAACTGAGGTTACAGGAACTGCTAGTTGTTCAAAGTCTCTGCTCTTCATTGTGGCACTGACTGCTACCCAGCTTTGCTGCTGCAAGGAAAGTCTCAGTGGAGCCAGACAAACCCAAGGCGTGTGTGCAAGCAATCGAGGCTGCCCTGACAATGTCTATCAACAGTTACTCCAGAATAGGCCTAGACCGGGGCTGTGCTGGGCGAGCTGGGCCATGTGGTCACTTTCATACTGGGGCTTGTGGGAGACGTTCTCCCCAGAGGGCAAGCGTAAGGGGGAGATGAAATGGCTGGGACTTAGCCCTTCCCTGAAACAACTTGCTGGTGGCCTGAATCTTGGGACTCCCCTGGTCTTCTCTGGGGACAATGAGTGCCGCTCCTTGGACCCTCCCTGCTAAGCGGAGTTCTGAAGCTTGCAGCTGATGCCCTGGCAGGACAGCCTTCCAGACCGAGTGTGGGGCACCGCTCAGCCCCACTCCCCCCTTTCCTGCTCCAGTTTCCTCCAGGGAACAGTTAGCAGCGGCCGGATGCAGACAGAGTTAATGGTCTCTTCCGAGGTGGTCTCTCCTTTCAGAAAGCCCCCTTTGTCTGAGCCCCTTAACTCTGAAACCAGATAAGAAGGTGGGAGGCAGGGCCCCTTCTGTCAAGGGATTAAGTGAACTCAAATGTACGAAGTCTGGAAAACTTCCTTGTCGCTTAGCTTAGCGGCGAGACCAACCTTGCACGCAGCTAATTCTTTCTCTCAGCCTCGAAGGCAGTTTCTTTTCAGGAATGGGCCTCCCTCCCACTGTGGTTGGACGTCTTCTTTGGGCTGCCGGGTTCAATGACCTATTCCTACAACATGGACGAGTGTCAGGGGTCTGCAGAGTCCCAGCCCCCCCTGGTGCTAAAGAGGCTGCAGGCAAACCGGCACTGCACTCAGGCTCAGGAGACCTCCAGCTGTGCGGCCTGGAGGGAGTCGCACGTCGCCTGTGACCTGCACTTCCTTCCTCTGCCCCCTCACAGGTCCTCACCGAGGTGATGTGTGTGAACCGCTCTGCAGATGGAACACACACCCAGGGTGGCTTCCCCACATGGCGCTGAACTTCCCAGAAGACGCATCGTGAAGCAGCCTCATCAATGCTCAGATGAGAATCAACTACCTAGTCCAGGTGCCTGGCTTCGCAGGTGAGGAGGAAAGTCTTTCTTCGTCCTCATCACACACCCCCTGTTGCGAGACACCCCAAAGCACTTTCCATTTGTGTGAACGAAGTCTCCCGGAGACTCCTTGCAGACTTACTTGTAAAGAATTGGATTCTGTTTTGGGAGGTGGGTCTGGGCAGGCAAAGTCTCGGCGAACCCAGACTCGACGTCCACTCCTGTCTTGGCTGAGCTCATGGGCCAATTCAGGGAGTCCAGGGGACTGAGCTGAGAAGTTCGAGTCTATTCTGTGGCATCACCAAAGCTGGTGAGCCATCAGAGCAGAGAGGCCAGTGGGCAGTCATAAAAACAGCTGTGCCTCAGCCCCTGCCCCCTCCCAGTGTGGTGACGGCAGGATACAGGCAATGACATAATAAGACCAAGGGGGAGGTGGCACACCACCCCCGGGAGAGGACCTCAGCCTTCACAGGGGCCTAATGCCTGTTCTGACTCCCTCTCCTGACCCTCAGGGGTTGGCTGGTGCAGAGGTGTGAGTCTGTGTCTGTGCAGGGGGAGCAGATGGGACAAGCATGTGCTTGGTCATCCAGCCAGGAGTCCCACGAGGGTGGAAGTGTTCCTGGGTGGCTCTGCAAAAAGAAAGCCAACTTGTCTGGTGCAGCCAGGCTGGGGCAGGACCCAGCCCAGCCCAGTGCTTTGCGGCTGGCAGCCCTGGACCCGGCACCGCGCGTGCCTGCTTTCACATGGCTCTGACGTCAGGAGCTGCTTGTGCGTGCTTAAGGCAAGTATGTGGTGTCTTAAGTGTCTGGGTGGTGAGCTGAGAGAGTGAGATGCTAGGAAGGACCTCAGGGAGGACGTTTGGCTCTGAAGACTGGAAAGCAGTGCCTTTCTCTGCTGCTTCTCTGTGTTCGTGTTGGCTTTCCTACCTCCTGATTCTTAGGCAGATGTCGGAGACGAGTACGTGCGTGGGAGGGGCTCAGCATGTCAGCTCTGGGTTTGCAGTGAATCAGTGAAAGTCCTTTCTGGTGGAGCCCCCGGTAGTTGGGTGTGGCCGCCCTCCCCTGAGATGGGAGAAGCCCCACCTTCCACCCTCTGGAGGACTTGTTTGGGGAAAAGTTGAAGAGAAGATGGCTGGTGCCTCCTTCTGCTCGCATGATGGGCAGGGAACCAGATACTCAATCAGCTCAGACCCGCAGTCCATGGGGCAGACCGCACCAATGGCGCAAAGCTGCCCTCCCACGCTGTGGGAGAAGCGAGCATCAGGGCAGTGTGCGGTGGAACCCGCCTGGGCTTTAACCAGCCCGGCAGCAGCCAGGGAAGCAGCCACAAGGACCGTTCACCTTGAGCTCTTCCCATCCTTCCAGCTAAGGTGCATTTCCCAGTGACTGCAGACTGAGAAACAGGAGGGCCGACCGCACCTCGTCTAGACTACTCTGTACAGGTGATGCTGAAGCACCCGGTGCCCCCAGCAGCTGGGCACAGGCTGAGCCTAGAACAGAGTCCCAGCCAAGACTGCCATCACCAAAAAGGCATCCACTGAGCTGCAGCAGTGGCCAAGGTGCCTGTTTCCAGGAACTGTGACCTCTGGGCAGGTCAGTTCATTTCCACCTGGTCTATCTCTGGTTCTGCGTTTCTCAGGGAAAGAGAAAGTGCAGCCTCTCCTGGAACGGCCTGGCTTCACCTGGCCCTTGGAGGATGACATATACACCTCCTGCTGAGTCCTCACCACCTTTGAAACTAGTTGGAAACAGCCTGGCCACAGGAGCTGTCCCCTGGACTCCGTTTTCCTGCCCCAGCTCAGTAGAGAGCAGTGTCTGGGCAGAGCAGCTGGGGTGGACCAAGGATAGTTCTGGCTCCAGAAGGAACATTAACCAGAAGAGTTCACATCCCACCCCCTTCTCCCTCCCTTTTCCACTGAAGCTTCAGTTTCCCGGGCTGAGCCCCCAGGCAGAAATCCTGTTCCCCTCCCTTCTTGTGCTGATGCTGGCACTGCCAAGTTCTGCCAGGGCTGAACGCCAGGTTGGCAAGGTGTCCGTGCCCCTGATCAGAACCAGCTGGGCGCACAGAAGTTGGGCAGCCCCTTTCCAGGTTCAACTCCCTGCAAACAATGTCTTTTACTTATGGCAGCCTCAGTTCTGCAGGCACAGGGAATCTTTCCATCCCAGCTGCCTTTCCTTGGGAGCCTCTCAGGTCTGGAGACAGTAGAGGGCTGAGAAATGGGGGTTGCGTGGATGTTCCTCCAAAATGTTCACTTATCATCTCCGTTGGGAGAGGCAGGTGTCTGGGGCGGGGGGTGCTTTAACCCACTTTCAGTTCGGGATGTGAGTGGTTGGGGTGAGGGGAAGAAGCCCAGGACCTCCGCTGTAAACTGGAAGGGACAGACTGGGAGGAGCAGTTGGTAGCCCAGGTGCCAGAGGTTAAGAAAAGAGTGACTTGACTGCTGCGCTCTCTCGGAAAGGAGAGAACCTTCTTTGGGGTGAGGAACGGGAAGGGTTTTCTCAGAAGGACTGGAAAGGGAAGACTCTGGAGACTCTGGGAGGTGACTGGGGCCTCCAGGCAAGGCGAGTCCTACCTGCAGGTCGGCTCCGTAGAACCGAGCCATGGACGCATCGGCCACCAGCAGCGTTTCCACGAAGCGAGCCTCAGATACAAACCGCTTGGTCCTACTCGTGGCGCCCAGTGTCGGTGGCAGCTCGCTGGCGCCTTCTGCCTCCTCTTCTTTGCTCTCCTCGTCCTCCTTCTCCTCCTGTTCCTCGTCCTCGTCCTCCTC